GGACTTGCGTGCATGTTTGGTTTGGAGCCCCGAGAGCTCGGGTGAGTTTTGGATAGGCCACGGAGTGAAATTTGTCTTAGGAAAGATTGCTGGTATCTGGTATTTTTGCCCAGGCCTCTGATCTCGCAATTGCAAGATCAGGCTTCGCAAATGCGAAGTTCTCAGGCATGGGAATTGCGACCCAGGCGTCGCAAATGCGAACCAAGCCTGGGTAGGCCATGATCGCAAATGTGAAAACCCCTAGTCGCAATTGCGACATCAGAGGCCTGTTAAGTGGAATTTCAGACGGGATTTCATTCATTTTTACAACTTTTCAAACCCTAAATCATCTTTGGGCGATTTTTCAAAGGCACCAACTCTTCCAAATCATTTGTAAGTCATTTCTAACTCATTTTCTTTAATCTATAACATCTTTTCACATTATTTCAATCCAAAATCAAGAGTTTTCATGGGGGAATTGGGTGTTTTGGGTAGAACTTAGAATTTTTAAATTTTGGGAATTTGGACCTCGATTTGAGGTCCGATTTCAAACAAATTATATATTTGAGTTCGTGGGTGAATGAGTGATCTGGTTTTGGTTCGAACCTCTGGTTTTGACCATGTGGGCCCGGGGTTGATTTTTGACTTTTTGGGGAAATCTTGAGAAAAACTATTTTCATGCATTAGAATTGATTCATTTAGCATTTATTGATATCGTTATGTAAATTGTGGCTAGATACGAGTGGAGTGGTGGTGGAAATAAGAGGTAAAGCGGTATTTGAGGCTTGAATTGTGTTCGTGGCATTGAGGTAAGTGTTTGGTCTAACCTTAGCTTGAGGGATTAGGAGTTGTGTCTTATATGCTAAGTGTTAATTGTTGAGTACGACGTATAGGTGTGGTGACGAGTATCTATACGTCGGTGTCAGACATGCCCATGAGTCTTATACTATGATTGTTGTGACTCCGTTTCGTATTGTTCATGTTTTATATGATGATTTCTATTGTTGAACAAGGCTTGTGGAAGTATTATTGGTAACCCCCCCTTTTTTTTTTATTCTTTTTCAAATGCGCTGGCTCAAGTTGAGAATTGAGTTGTGAAGTAATTGTGGAAAAGAGAAGAGTTTTATGATATTGTCTCCCTTGCCGGGACGTTGTTGCTTTTGATATTGTCTCCCTTGCCGGGACGTTGTTGCTTTTGATATTATCTCCCTTGCCGGGATGTTATTGCTTTTGATATTATCTCCATTGCCGGGATGTTATTACTCATGATATTGTTTCCCTTGCCGGGATATTGTTGTTATGCTATTGTTCCCTTGCTGGGATTTTATTGTGATGTTATTGATTCCCTTGCCCTAATTGCTTTGTGATTGTTGCTTGGGTGAGGAAGAGTGTAAAGCACGAAAGGTGATGTCGTGCATGATTTTGAGAGTGTTAAAGCACGAAGGGTGATGTCGTGCCGATATTGTGAGGTAAAAGCACGAAGGGTGATGCTGTGCCGCACGATATAAAATATCGTGCCATGATATGAGTGATAATGCACGAAGGATAATTCCGTGTCATGATTATGTGAGGTAAAAGAACGAAGGGAGATGCCGTGCCGATTATCTTGACTCTTATGGCGTGGACGAGAGTAAAAGCACGAAGGGTTATGCCGTGCACTTGTCTTTGATTTCCTGATTCTTGGTGATAATTGAATTATGGTGTTCTTTACATTTATCTATTGGTTTTCTGTTGTTACTTGATATTCCCCGCAGCATGCCCCCCCTCCCCTCCTATTTTTACCTGTAAATTTCTGCCTTTATTTTTCCGTTGTATATGATTTAACTGCACAGGTTTATTTGGTAGTCTGGTCCTAGCCTCGTCACTACTTCGCCGAGGTTAGGCTAGGCACTACCATCACATGGGGTCGGTTGTGCTGATACTACACTCTGCAATGTGTGCAGATCCCGGTGCTGTAGCTTTTGGACCACAGTGAGGTTGCTACCTTTAGTCTAGTGGCGGAGACTCGAGGTAGTCCTAAAGGCGTCCCAGGCCTTGGCGTCTTCCTCTATCTTTCCATCCTGTTTCTTTTATGTATTTAAGAGACAACTTTGTATTTATCTTTCAGACTGCTGTTTGTAGTATTCGTAGACAGTCCGTGACATTGTGACACCAATTCTGGGTAGAGTTGTATGTTGGATTCTGCACTAGTATATGGTTAAACTATGAGTTTCGTCTTCCGCATTTCTGTTTATTATAATTATTTCGCTATTGATCACCTGTTATATTGAACTGTTAAAAAGGGCTAAGCAAAAAGGTTAATGAATCTATAATACTCGGCTTGCCTAGCTTTCATGAGTAGGCGCCATCACGACTCCCGAGGGAGGGAAATCCGGGTCGTGAAAGACTTGGAGGCCCGGCTCAATGCAGGTGAATGTATCCATTCGAGAGGTAATGATCAAACCTGTCACGACCCAAAATCCACTAAGGGTCGTGATGGCGCCGAACACCGCTGTCAGGCAAGCCAACCATAAGTACTTAATTAAATTCTCGTTTAAATAATTGTGAAAATTATGATTTTCCTTCAATTTGGCTAGTAAAAGATAATCTTTACAAAATAAATAAAAGAAAGTTTAGAAGTTAACACAAAATACCCCATAATCATCCCAGAACCCGGTGTCACAAGTGCATGAGCAGTTTCTAGGAAATAATGTAATACAACAACTGTCCGGAATACAAATTGGATAGAAAAGAAAATATAGTACAATACTCTGAAGGAGACTCTGCTGGCTGCGGGTCGTCTCGAGAGGTGCAGCTCAACTAAGTCTCCGTATCAACCATGTCGTTGCGCCGAACTAAGCCACTAGACATACATGTGCCTGTGCAACAAAAATGCACAGCAAGTGTAGTATGAGTACAAAAACAACGTGTACCCAGTAAGTATCGCGTCTAACCTCGAAGAAGTAGAGACGAGAGGTCGACTTCGACACTTACTAATGGTCCAATAATAGTCTATTAATAAAACGAATAATCATGGATTTATGAAAAACAGCAGTAAACTCAAGTAAGCCAAGAAACAAGAATACATTCCTTTTTATATTTAGAAGTCTCCAAATTCATAATCCATTATTTATCAATTTATCTCAGATCAGGGAGGCAATATCAATTTGTAAATCTCAAGCACGCATTACAAGCATGCGCAAATCATGCCGAGGTCGTACGACCCGATCCTAAATATTTAAACTATGCACTGCCACAGGGTCGATTGGCGCGAACCCACTACCAAAAAATGGGCCCATGGGAACGGAATTTTTTGCAACGGTTCATAAACCGTTGCTATAGAGCTCTTATGGAAACGGTTTTAACCGTTCCAATAGGTTATAGGTACATTCGGCACACTTCATCATAAAAATGTTGCCCTTGTGTAGAAACCGTTCCCATAGATATTTTTTTTGCAACGTTTCTTGTAACCGTGCCTCTAGACTAATCTATTGCAACGAATCTGGGAAAAAAATCAATGGGAACGGTTATTAATCCCTCTTAATTATTTCCCCCCTAAATTTCGTGTAACCCGCCAAACCCCCAAATTATTTACATTCTACTTTTTTTTATCTGTATTTTTTATGTAATTAAAAGTATAAGCGTCTCTCTCAAATTAGTTATAATTAAAAGTAGAACATAAAACATAAGCGTCTCTCTCAAAGCTCACGCCTGGCCAGTACAAACCCAAGCTCTCTGCCAAACCTCGCCACCGCCGGTAACACCTATGTCGGTGACAGTCCCACACCGGCGACAGTCCCTCTGCCAACCTCCGTTAAACGCACCAAATCTCAGCAAACAATTTTCAACCGTGCCCTAATTCGCACCATAAACAACCAGCTCTTTCGAACAATTCGAACCATCCACATAGGTATAATTTACCTCCACAACCTGAAGCTNCAATTTCTCAACAGTTGAGCCCTAATTCGCCTATTTCATTCCTCATTGAAGAAGAATTTGCCGCTGGGTAGCTGTGGAATAGATATCATCGTAAGTTCCTTTACTGGTGGATTAATTGATTTTAATTTTATTTTTGGGGTATTTGAGCGATGTACTGTTATTGATTGGAAATACACAATCTTTGTTGTTCTGTGATTTTTTTCTGGGGGAATATTGTGCTGATAATGGTCGTCCCCTCCACCCTTAACCCATCTGAAGTTTTTGCTTTTTATGCTACTAAATTAGCTTTATCTGTATAATGGTAATTGTTTGTGATCTTGTTTAGTGCCAATTTTAAGTGTCATCCCAGATTCAAGATATGCTTATAATAGGTTCTTGTTCTGAGTATAAGATGTGGGAATAGTGCTGGCAATACATCATCGTGTCCTATGTTAATTGATTTTTTGGCACCAAATGACGACCAGTTACTATTTTCCTGTATTGGTTTCCTTATAAATAGACTTGGGAGGCGTCGGATTCGTGCATCGAAATCCTGTATTTGTTTCCTTATACAACAGTCCATCCACCAACCTAAAATGGGTAAAATAGAGAACAAAATGAACTTTTTGATGTAAGAAAATTGTCATTTTACAGAATAGATCAAACTAAACTTTACCTGCTGCCCTGCAAACCAAACTCTATAGGGTACAATTGTGTTAAGCCCCATCCGTTTTGCTAGTTAATGTACAACAGTGCGGCTTCCAGTCAATGGAACAACAGAATCTTGATCCCCGCTGTTTTCAAGAATTACACGTTACTAAAATATGATCCCTTACGTTATTGCAACCTGACAGATGATCCCTTACTTTTGATTCTTCAAGCGATATTTTCATTTTCTTGAAAATATTATGGTTACCAAGAATCTTAAGTATCATTCATTATTCACTACCAAGTCCACGCCTTTGGTGGTTAGTTATTGATTTGCTCTTTCTAAAATTAGCTTGAATGTAAATAGCTTCTCCTCTGTCAACTGCTGACACTTTATTTTGCTGGCTTTGAGCATAGAAAGAAGAAAGAGACCATTTTCTTTTAATATCTTGTGTAAACTTTCTTAATTTGCAGACATGGCTATTTTGTTTCTTGAACTAAATGTATGGTATGAGTATCAGATTGAAGTGATGAGAATGTAGACAAACATATGTGCCTAGGTTGTTGTCCACTACTGCACATGAACATGGATCTTCATTTATCTGAAAGCATCATTAGCAAAATTAGCAATACAGACCACTGATATACTTTATTAAAACATTCTTTAGTTAGCGATATGTATCCATATTCCTTCTATATAAAATTCCATTACCATAAATGCACATGATTTGAAATTTGAATGTATTGGTAGTAGTAAACTCTACAATTTTGCTGCTGGTTTGTGAAATTTTTCCCAATGTTCTGCATATTCTTGAACACATAATAATCCAATATGTATAGATCTCACAACCTCTTTTTCAAAGCTCGGATCAAATATTTTGGGGTCTACTAATTTTACTATATTATTTTCATTCCACAACTACCATGCCTGAAGAGCAAAGACATTGACAAACAGTGAAAATATTGTGTTCAGAAGTTTCACGTTTTTTCTCTTTCTTTATCATTTTTTCTAAGTAATCAAAGACATTAAAGCTTCATGAGTATGCAAGACTGAACTTACACATGCAAATAGAGTTAGTTCATCTTCATCGTCGTAAAAACTGGAATTCTTCCTTCATGAGTATGCAAGACTGAACTTACACTTGTGGCCCATGCTAAAAGATTAGATCCTAACATGGCATTGCTCTTCTTTAGAATGTGGATGAATAATTTCCACAATAACCATGCATCTTTATAAGCAGTAGCGAATGTTACCTTTTTGTAATGTTATTTTATTTTGACTGCCTTATGTCATCCTTATTGAAATACATTGCTGATTTTTTTCCCCCACTTTTTTTTTAATGAGCAATAGTCAGGCCGTCGGGCACTTCACTTTGCATTGCATATTTAGGCTTATACTTCTTCGATTATTCATATTAGGTGCATTTTTGGACACTCACTGATGAAAGGTCTGTTAACTTATGCTGCTTGCTGTTAGGAACATCGATTGGAGCTTGCTTGATACAATGACTTGGCCAGTTTATCTAGTTCACTATTTAAGAGTAATGGGATACACAGATGAACCTGGTTGGAAAGGTTTTTATCCCCATGCTTTATAGAGGAAATATTACTTGTTATCTGCTGGCAGGCATTATGTTAAGAATTAGCCCAAATATAGTCATCGACTTGATGTTTTTTTTCTTGAATGACTTGATGTTTCTTTCTTGTTTGAAGGCTAACCTATATTGTGTTTGCTTTTCAGAATCTGAAAAATATTTGAATAGTCATGAATCAAAAAGGGTGCTCAAGCAAAAATAAGAAAATATTCAACCGCGTTCCAGCTGGATCACTTGCATCTTTGTGAAATCAAAGGGTTTCGTCATTGACAACAAAAAGAACCTTCCAAGCTACAAGGTCAAATGCAAATGAAGAACGACAATCAGAAGGTGAATTACCTTCATCTTTGCGAAACCAAAAGGTTTCGTTGTTGACAACAAAAACAGCCTTGAAAGCTCTAAGGTCAAATGCAAATGAAGAACGACAATCCGAAGGTGGATCTCAATTGCAAGAACAAGTGCCGCAAGTGCCACAAAATTGCACCTCTTCAGCAACACAAGGAGTACATGAACAAGTGCAACAAGCGAATATGGATTCCATCACTCCTGCATCACAAGGAGTACATGAACGATCTGATGATTCTACCACTCATGAAGTAGCTGAACAAATTGAGGAACAAGGCAAATATATATAAATTTTAATCATAAACTTAACTAAAAATAGTGACTAATGATTATCTTTCTTTTGTACTATTGCAGGCCCCTCCTCGCCAAAAAGAAAAAGAGGTCGTACTCAAATGCCAAGAGTTCATGTGAGAAAGGAGCGTAAAATAATCATTCTAAATGAGTTTAATCAACCCATTGGTCCTACTAAAGAGGTTGTAAAAGAGTTGGGTAGCTTCCTCGGCACATTGGCAAGGAGTGGGACTTTTTGTCCTCTTAATGTAGTTAATTGGAGGAAACTAGACACAAAAGATGATATGTGAAAATATATCAAGGTATGAAGTTGCCAATGTCCAATAAACATGGATGATATTTCTTATTTCTTACACTAACCCAATTGTACTAAATTTGTAGGAAAAATATGACATTCCCGACGAGGCAAAAAAATGGATTTTTGAATCAGTTTGTAGTGCTTGGAGAAAGTATAAGAGTCAATTGAAGGCAACCCACTTCACATCCTATGAGAATGATGAGCTTCGAATGGAGAATAGGCCAGTAGATGTTCCGGAATCTCACTTTAAGGATCTTCTTAACTATTGGAACTTCGATCCTCACAAGGTAATAACATCCAGAATCTCTTGTCAGTACATGCTGCTGCAACACCTTATGCCCACTGAAATATGCTTGGAAAACTGCGGTACTTGATACATAAAAAAACAAGAATTCAAGTTTGTCTGAAATATTGGTTTAACTGCTACCATATCTTATGAAAGTAGAATGCTACTATAGCTGAAACAAAAAGCAAATAAAGTAACATCAAGTTATGAATAAAGTTTCTGGAGTAAAGATATGAATAAAGTAGGTGTTTAACGACAAATACAAACTATTAGCTATTTTGTTTCACCCAAAAAAAATCTTTCTTAGAGATATGTAGTAACATAATTTTCAAAATTCAATAATGAAAAGGAATCCAATTTTCTGCCCGATAATTTGTGATGTCATTATTTCTAATTGCTAGTCTAAGTTATTCAACAAGGTAAAACCACAACTGCACAACTATACGTTCTGTTCATAAATGTATAGAGACAATTGGTTTCACCATCTCACTTTTACTTTGTTGGCTTCCATTCATGTTAAGGAAATACTTCTTTCAGATTTCTCTTTCTTTTACAAGTGAAAAGGTAGAGCACTATTGGGGTGAATCCATTACTGTTTTTAGTCACTACTCACTATAAAAAACCTGCAATACAAGCTATATGGTACTTCTGCCTCATCCTATGTAGAAGCCTAGAAGAAGCTAGTAAGGCAAGGATTATATGTGATATTACTCTGCAATTTCTTATCAATAGGAGACTCTCACATGTTTCAGTATCTAATGTGCAAGACTAATTACTGTTGGTTGCTATTTGGTTGACTCGTTTATTTGCAGAAAATATCCGAAACCAATATAGTGAATCGAAATAAGTTGAACTGTCCACACACAGCTGGTAGAACACCTTTTGCTCTAATTCGCGAGGTTTGATGTTTTATCTTTCTTATTTTTGTAAAATTATGAACTTGCTAACTTTATATGGAAAGATTCTTATACTTGTTTTCATGTAACTAGGAAAAAAGAAGGAAATCTCTGATACTGCAGATACTGTATCAAGTAAGGACATGTTTGTGGCAACAAGAAAAAGAAAACTTGGCCGCGTATACAAAAGCTCATATGACAATACAATTGGTAAAATTGTACGAAATTTGTAATTTAAAGTTTGTCATGCTTATTTATTTGTTCTTAATTATTGATTCAACTTTAGTTACTTAAAACTCTTTTTTCTCGCATTTGATTTGTAGGCTGAAATGGAGAGAATGCAATCTACTCAGGAAAGTGAAGACGACAGTCATTCAATTGATGCTTTTGCATCAGTCATGGGACCTGAACATCCAGGTCGCGTGAGATTGTATGGACGAGGGGTTACCAAGACTGTGTTAAAAGGGCAAAAAGGGAATCTTGGATCTTCTGATGAGAGGATGCAGCAAAAAATGGAGGAAATGGAAGAGAGGATGCAACAAAGAATGCATGAAAAGTTGAACAAACAAAAGGATGCTATGGAACAAAATATTACAATGAACGTCATCGCACGACTTCAGCGTCTGAACCCAGATTTGCGACTTGATCCTAACATGTTAAGGTTCAGTACACGTTCACCTGTAGATGCTTCCGCTGCACAACAAGCTGTTGTTCAACTAAACAGTCGACCATCTGCGGGTAGTAACAATCAAGGTCAGTATGTACCAAATATTATATCAATCAACTTCACTTGAATTTAAAAGGTAGAGATGCAACGTCTGTGTGTTGGAACTTTTTAGTACTTCAGATTTTGATAAGGGCTATAAACACCATTTGATTGTCCAATGAAATGAGATTGGAGTAGTCTGGTGGATTAGAGACTTATATGTCACTATAAGGATAAGTGTGAGATTGAATGATTTTTAGTTGTAGAGAATCCTTCATTTATCTTAAAAGGCAAATTATTTGTCTTTGGCATGAGATGGACTATAATATAGCAAAACATATACAGAGAATGATAGCCTACTCTAAATAATTTCAGATTGATATACTGATTGATTGCTGATTTATTCAGTATATAAATTCAGTTGCTTCGATTCTAGTGCTTCAAACTTATATCGAGAAATCCTTTCCTTATTCTGTCCTGTGGTAAGTTTGTGCCTTGTCTTATGACGATCTTTAAAGTATTTTGGATTTGAGCTTGAGCTGCTGGACATCTTCCTCTGTAAGTTGTGAAATTAGAGCCTTATACTAACAAATGCTGCCAACTCCCATGAACTTAAACTGATTTGAGATATATAGCCGATTGATTGCTGATTTGAGATATTCCTCTGATTTTTGTATCTTCCTCTGATTGATGTATCTTCCTCTGATTGCTGATTTGAGACTGTCCTGTGATTGATTGCTGTCAAAACATATATAGCTGATTGATTGCTGATTTATATACTGCTTCGCGCTGCATATGCAATTGAATTTTGTGATGTGTGGTTCTCACTCTCTTCCTATATGTTGTAGAGCCTCCATTACCTCTACATCTGTGTAGAACATTGGTACATTTAGAAATTTGTATTAGGTTAGAGTGTCAGATTGTTCTCATAGTGGATTTCGATTTTTTTTCATATTTCACATTGCTACTTGGATTTGTAGCTCTAGTCAAGTGTGAGCTAGCTTGTCCTTATCAGTACTAGGGATAATCAGGGTTTCTAGCTTATGATGTGTCATTGAGTCTGTACTCTATTGATCCTTGATGACTAGATGTCTGTGGGTTCTATAAGTGACTTGGTATTCAGCTATATTGCATCGTTAGGGAATAAGATTTTCGGAATCATAGTAGACATATACCATTTTGAGAATACTGTCACTTTCAAAGAAATGAAACCAAGTTTGACGTGATGAATTATGGTGTAGTTGTATATTCTTGCTTTATATAAGTGTGTGCTCAAACAATGGTCATTGATCAACTGAAAGAACGGTTTAAATAGTTGATATTTTGTGCTGGTTTTGTAATTATGTTTGTGATTCTTCTTATGAATTATTCTTTACTTTGCCATCATAGGTTGATAGTTTGTAAGTCTTGGTCTTTGGTAATAATATCAGATTGTTATAATATTGCGTATAGTTTGCTGAGTTTAATAAGTTGGATTAACAAAAGAAGATCGAAAACAGTTAAATGCTTGAGTATTCTTAGACCGGATTCTGTTGAAGGGTAATAACTTTATTTATCCTCTTTTGAAGGTGGAGTAGATCAAGAAATGGATGCTGAAGACGATGAAGAAATAGACCTTACTTGAAATGAATTTTGTATTGTTATAGATGAATGTTCAAGGAATCTTTTGTTACCAACATTTTTGAAACTTATTTACTCTTTTGAAATGTACTAAACTTATGCACTCATGGGGTAAAACATCTGTTTTATGGATAATTTTATATTATTAATAGTTTCATTTTATGATGTATTTAAATATTAGTGTTATTATAATTTATTATATGTATAAATATTTATTTATAACAGGTGCTATATTTTGGTTTTAACGGAACTGATACAATAGCCTACCAGAACCGTTGCAATAGGACATAAATGGCGTTCCGGTAGACAATGTACACCGTTGCAATAGGTCCCATAAAATGTTCCAAATACAAATATAACCATTACCATAGCCTAAAGAAACCATTGCTATATCCAACATAACCGTAGCAATAGCTTGCATAAGTGTTGCTTTAAATAATATGGTAACGGTTAAAAACCGTTGTATAAATAATACAGTAACGGTTTTGAACCGTTCCAATTGAAAAATATAACCGTTCCAATAGAGAAAGGGATAACCGTTGCGATAGGCTTATCTATTGTCACGGCGATGCAAACCGTTGCAAGAACCGTTCCAGTAAACCTATGGGTACGTCGTCTGATGTGACGGTCTGTAAACCGTTCCAGTAGCCCTATGGCAACGGTTTTGCTGTCTGTTGGAACGGTTTTCAAACCGTTACCGTAGACCAATTTTTCAGTAGTGGGAAGAACAAGAAGTTAGCCTTTATGTTATCTTTGAAATGTTGCAGGCACAACAGCTGGTTGTCGCTCAACTGCAAAGCCATCCAAAAACGCCCAGCACCGTAGCACCAGGAACAACTCCCCCGGCCGAACAGGTACCGGAGAGACTGAGCAATAATGGTTCGTCGACCGATCCTGCTACCGTAAAGATGCTCGAGGATCTTTCCAGAAGGATCGAGTAGGGCGAGAAGATGATAGCCGTCAATAGCAAGAAAGTCAAAACATATAACTCCAGGGTCGACCAAATCCCGGGCGCGCCCCCGGTCCTGAAAGGCGTAGACTCGAGGAATTTCGTGCAGCGGCCGTTCCCAGAGGAAGCAGCTCCTAAACCCACCCCAAAGAAGTTCAGAATGCCGGAACTCCCGAAGTACAACAAGACCTCAGACCCCAACGAGCATGTTACCGCCTATACGTTTGCGGTAAAAGGCAACGACATAAAAGACGACGAGATCGAGTCCGTCTTACTGAAGAAGTTTGGGGAAACACTCTCAAAGGGGGCCATGATGTGGTACCATAATCTAGCTCCCAACTCCATAGACTCATTTGCCATGCTGGCGGACTCCTTCATAAAGGCACACACCGGTGCCATCAAAGTAGCAACGAGGAAGTCCGACGTATTCAAAAGCAGGCAAAGGGAGAATGAAATGCTGCGAGAGTTCGTGTCTCGCTTTCAAACGGAACGAATGGAACTACTCCTGGTCTCCGATACTGGGTGGTATAGGCCTTCACTCAGGGCCTGAACGAGCAGAGTTCTGTGGCCTCGCAGCAGCTAAAAGAAAATTTGATCGAGTATCCTGTCGAAACCTGGTCGGATGTCCACAACCGATACTAGTCAAAGATCAGGGTCGAGGATGATCAATTGGGAGCCCTTTTGGGATCAGTATACCCAAAGGCTCTTAGCAAAAGAGTCGAAGCTGAATAATGAAAGGAATCAGCCATACACCGAAGACAAAAGAAATGCCCCGAGACGCAACCCGCCTCGCAACGACCGACCGGTCAACCGAGGACAGAACCCCCGAGGGTTCATTAACTGAGCGAGACTCGACAGAAACACAGGGCTATCAGGGGCACCACGCCTATTGGAGTACAACTTCAACATTGACATTTCAGCCATCGCGTTCGCCATTGGCAAAATCAAGGATACCAGATGGTCCAGACCTGTACATGCGAATCCTTCCCAAAGGAATCATAACTTAAGATCCGAATTTCACAACACGCATGGCCACAGGACCAAGGATTGTCACCAACTGCGAGAAGAAGTGGCCAGGTTACTCAACAACGATCATCTCAGAGAATTCTTGAGCATCCGAGCCAAGAATCAGCACCGAGGAAGGGAGGCAGCCAAGAAGAATGAAGTAAACGAGCCACGACACGATATTCACATGATATTAGGAGCGATCGACGCTCCTCAAGAACCCGTGATGAGAAGGACAAAAATTTCCATCACCGGAGAAAAGCGAACCCGAGGATACGTACTCGAAGATGCCCTCACATTCACCGAGGAGGACTCCGAAACCTTGTCTCAACCTCATAACGACGCACTGGTAATCTCTTTCCTCGTAAATACATTTCAGATAAAACGTGTACTCGTAGACTCAGGTAGCTCGGCCAACATTATCAGGTCGAAGGCAGTAGAGCAGCTCGAACTACTAGACCAAATCGTGCCCGCCACTTGATTCCTCAACGGATTTAACATGGCAAGCGAGACAACAAAGGGAGAGATCACTCTCCCGGTCAGCGTGGTCGGCACGACTCAAGACGTCAAATTCCACATCTTCGAAGGAGACATGAGGTATATAGCCTTGTTCGGGCGACCGTGGATATACTTCATGAGAGCGGTACCGTCCACCCTCCACCAGATGATGAAATTCCCGACAAAATATTGGATTAAAACCGTCCACGGGGAGCAACACGCGAAACGAGAAATGTTCGCGGTGCACGACGTGGCACCACCACCAATATCTCCACTCTCAAGAGAGCCTAAGGACAATCAAACTACATCTTTGGCTAATACCGATTGAACACAGCGGAGGACCGTACTGAGTCCTCCCTGCAAACAACAGAGGCGTACCAGACCTCAGAACGTCGCCAAACACATCTCGCGATAAGGTATAACCATCTCCCATTTCAGATTATATTACATACTAATCCTTTTATATAGGTACTCGATCAAAGAGGCCAAATACGCATGCCTAGCCCGAAGACCCTTAGATTTTAAAGACATCCGTTGCACTCTTTTCCTTCGACCGAGCTTTTTGTCCCGAAGAGGGTTTTGCCGGCAAGGTTTTTAATGAGCAACACCTATATGCTACCAAAAGGGAATCCAACAGGTCCTCAAGGCTTCTTTTGCTATCAACTACGAGCGCGATGGATGCCCTTTCGGAAGGTCGTCCACTCAGAAAAGCCAAGAGATGCCAAGTAGGACCCTAATGAGAAAATGTTGTACTAGACCAAACGGTCGGATGAACCGTGTCTGCACAACCGCACCCCAATGTCGGAGGCACATGTACTAGTGTCAAGTAATCAAAGAATGCTTTTTCCCAACACGATTCACGCTCCAAGGAAAACCCAGCATTTTCGCCAAAATGATTAATCCATCAGAAAACGTCCCGAATACTCAGAGACTGCGGTCGATAATTCGGCACCCGCATGACCTCAGGGTCGAAACTCGGACTAATAAGTCACCAACGAGGCAGCATGAAGATCATTCACTATCTCCAAAAAAAGCGTCCCAAATACTCGGAGACTGGCGTAAAAAAACTCCACATACGCACGTCCTTAAGGTCAGAATCTCCAAAGTCGTAAGTCCTCAATGAGGCAATCCCGAGCTCACGAGTAACAGCTCTCAGCCGTAACAAACTCGATGACTCGGAGACTATCACCAATCGCCATTCAACAATAAACCCGAGGCTGTAAGACCCCGAGCGGGGCAGACTCGATCTTGTAAAACTTGCACTAAGCAACAACACAAAATGTAAGACCTTCAAGCAAGGCATGAATCATACTTGCATCTAGTATCAGCAAAAAACGGTAAGACCACAAAAGGCATGAAATGTTTTGTAAGACCTTATTACAGGCATAAAATCAATCTCGAAGTTTAGGATATATATCGAAATTGTAAGACCCCTAATAAGGTATACCCTCGATATAGACGCCTTAACTACTATACTCGGGATAAGAAATGGCTCCGGCCAAACATAAATGACTACGGTCATACGGCTGCACCAGCCAAACTAACACGACTCGGGGACGCCCGACCGTCGCTACAAAATCATAGGCCGTCACTTCGAAAAGAACCGGTTAAACAGGCTACCTTTAACAGGCAAAAGAGCTTCGACCATGTCAGCTCTAAATTATAAGGCTTTGAGCTACTCAGCCTACGAGCCGAACCTTACGAGGTGTTCGAACATCGCCACTAACAATTGGAAATCGATGTTCTTCTCGAACCGACGACAGGTCAAGCAAAATCATTGCAAAAGTCCTTAACGAGAGGAAAATAAACCCTAGCGAGCCTCAGGGCCGCACAAATGCCTAAGGGCAAAGCGTAAGAGCCATTGCTTCCAGCCTAATGAGCCTCAGGGCCGCACATATGCCTAAGGGCAAAGCGTAAGAGCCATTGTGGCCAGCCTAATGAGCCTCATGGACACACATATGCCAAAGGACAAAGTGTAAGATCCATTGTCGCTAGCCTAATGAGCCTCAGGGCCACATATATGCCTAAGGGCAAAGCATAAGAGCCATTGTCGCCAGCCTATCAAGCCTTAGGGCCACACATACATGCCTAAGGGCGAAGCGTATGAGCCATTGTCGCCAGCTTGCATAAAAGATCGCTTCGATCGTAGGCGTAAGAGCCATTTTCGCCCATCCAACACAAACATAAAACTTGAGGGTCGATTGAGCTCGGGTCGTAGCCCGACTCGGAGACTGGATCCAAGAGAGATAAAACGTAAGGGCCACCGGCCCATGCAAACATAAAAGGTCTAGGAATATATGAGCTCGAGTTGAAACCCAACTCGGAGACTCCACCCGAAATAGTTGGGCAAAAGCGTAAGTGCTCAGAATGCCTGCTTACACTAAAGGTCGCATCGACCGAGCGCGTAAGAGACCCCGAGTCCACCTAGTGTGCCAGGGCCATACCATGGATGTGATAAATCTTACTGACTCTAAAACCAGTCAGCCTGGCCATAAGAAAAACAAAGGAAGGTACATAAGAGCAAAAATGTCGCAAAAGGGTTTTCTTCTTTT